TGGTGTCTTCTATGTCTCTCTTTTCGTCTTCTCTCCAAATAAAATGCCCAATTCCTTCTCAAATAAAAAATTATCTACATACAATTCCCTCAAACAAAAAAAAATAGTCAGTTCGTCGTTTCCATTATCTCTTCTTCTTTGCTCTTCATCATCTCCGATATGATCTACAGACCTCGTGTCTTTGCCAAGGATGTACCGAACTTAAATAGTCTTATAAATCTCTTCTACTCAATCAAAAAAAAAAAAATACACTCCAGTCGTCGTTTCATCCGATCGTCTGCGTAAATCCTCAAAAGAAGCCGCTTTGCCACCGCCGTACAATCCTAAAAAAAATAGTCATCGCGTTCATGATTTTTCTTTGCTGCAAATCCGAAGGAAAAAGACCATTGTTGCCATTAGAAATTCCTAAAATAAAATAGTCAGTCCCGTTCAGAATTTTTTTTTGCGCTGCAAATCCGAATGAAAAAGAATTGTTTGCCAGGATTACGACCTTAAAATAGTCCTGCTAAAATTCCTAAAAGAAAAAAAAAAAAAAAAATAGTCAGTCGTTCTGATTTGTTTGCTGTAAATCCAAATGAAAAAGACATATGTTTGGCCATTAAAAATTCCCTAAAAAAAATATCGTCGTCCCGTTCATGAATTTTTTTTTGCCTGCAAATCCGAAGAAAAAGACTCGGTTGTTTGCCAGGACTTACCCGACTTAAAAAATAGTCTTAAAATTCCCCCTAAAAAAAAAATAGTCAGTCCGGTTCATGATTTTTTTTGCTGCAAATTAAATGAAAAGACATTTGTTTGCCAGTAAAAAGCGCTAAAAAAAAATGTCAGTCGTCGCGTTCAGATTTTTTTTTTGCTGCAAATCCGAATGAAAAAGACATTGTTTGCCAGGACTTACCGACCTTAAAAATAGTCTTAAAAATTCCCTAAAAAAAAAAAAAAAGTCAGTCGTCGTTCATGATTTTTTTTGCTGCAAATCCAAATGAAAAAAGACATTGTTGCCAGGACTTACCGACCTTAAAAATAGTCTTAAAATTCCCTAAAAAAAATAGTAGTCGTTCATGATTTTTTTTTTGCTGCAAATCCGAATGAAAAACGACATGTTGCCGGACTTACCGACCTCTTAAAAATAGTCTTAAAAATTCCCTAAAAAAAAACAGTCTCGTCGTTCATGATTATTTTCCGAAGAAAAAAATTGTTTTGGCTGTAAAACCCCTAAAAAAAAAAATAGTCAGTCGTTCATGATTTTTTGCTGCAAAATTAAATGAAAAAGACTCGCCATTGTTTGCCAGACTTACCGACCTTAAAATAGTCTTAAAGATGCCTAAAAAAAAAATAGTCAGTCGTCGTTCATGATTTTTTTTGCCTGTAAATCCAAATGAAAAAACATTGTTTGCCACTTACATTAAAAATTCCCTAAAAAAAATAGTCAGTCGTCGTTCATGATTTTTTTGCTGCAAATCCGAATGAAAAAGACATTGTTTGCCAGGACTTACCGACCTTAAAAATAGTCTTAAAGATTCCCTAAAAAAAAAAATAGTCAGTCGTTCATGATTTTTTTGCTGCAAATTTAAAGGAAAAAGAACATTGTTGCCAGGACTTACCGACCTTAAAAATAGTGCTTAAAAATTCCCTAAGAAAAGTCATGATTTTTTTTTTTGCTGCAATCCAATGAAAAAGACATTGTTTTTGCCAGTCAGCGTCTTACCGATGCAGCAGTTCCCGTATCCGAACGCGCAGGTGGCGGTGGGCGTCCCTCCGAGGCGATGGCAGTTCCGCCGCAGCATGCAGACGCCCACACGGCCCTCGCCGCCCACGCACTGCCCGCCCCCGCCCTCGGTCAGCATGCGGAAGAGTTCGTCAAGGGAGAACCCTGGCGACGGCGGCGGAGGCGGGAGGAGGGCGGAGGAAGATGGAAGATGGACGGTGATAGAGAAAGGAGGATGGTGAAGAAGAGAGAGAGAGGAGGGAGGGGAGGGGGGGGGAGATGGGGAGGGAGAGGAGGGGGAGGGAGAACGGAGGGAGGGGGAGAGATGGAGATGAGAGGAGCGGGAGGGGGGAGAATGGAGAGAGAGGAGAGGGAGGGAAGGGGAAGGGGAGCAGGGAGAGAGAGAGAGAGAGGAGAGGAGAAAGGGAGAGAAGATGGGGGAGGGAAAGGAGGGAGAGAGGAGGGAGAGATGGAGGGACAGGGAGATGGAGAAGAGAGGGGGAGGGAGGGGAGAGAGGGAAAGGAAGGAGGAAAGGAGGGGAACGGGAGAGAGAGAGGACTTTGCTTTAAAATTAGATTTTTGTACAAGATTTCAAGAATATTTAGAAGACAATTTTGTGTCAAGAGATCAGTTTAGAAGGAGAGCTTTCCATCCAGTACAGCTTTCGCAAGGCAATCAAGATGGCCGTTTAAGCGAGACCAACTTCCCTTCCCCTACAACTCATGCCTCGAAATGCGAAAGTGAGTGAAAGTCCCCCTTTTCGCAGGAGGAGGAAAGGAGGAAAAGCTCTCTTTATCAAAAGGGAGGAAAGGCTTTCTTTATTCCTACGAACAAAGGTTACTAACACCTTGGCCGTCGAGGTGGAACGTACGGCAGGAGGTCCTGGGGCGGCGGGAGGACGGCCGGCTCTTCGTAGAGGGTCGTGGGCGGCGGGTGCGGCGACCAGTAGGTGGGCGGCGGGGTGGGCGTGGGCTGGGGGCGCGACGCAGTAGGTGAGCGGGGGCGGTGGTGGGGGCGCGCTGGCTTCCTGGGACGGAACCGCGAGGGGACCTTCTTGGGGCGGGGCGGCGGCGCCCACCTTGAACGGGTCCTTGGGGCCGAAGGGCGGCTTGGCGAGAGCCGGGGAAGGCGTCGCCGTGGGCGGGCGCGGCGGCGAGGGCGTGTAGCCGGTGGTGGGCGTGTCGAGCGTGACGCGGGGCTCCGTGCTCACCCACCAGCGCGTCTTCTCGGCCGCCCTCTCCTCCTCGGCCCTCCGGATAGTGTCTGACCAGCGGTCGGCCTTCCTGACGGGCGCGGGGTCGCGGCGGCGCCACGGGTCCCGGCTCTGGTGCAGGCGCCGGAGGGGCACCAGCGAGCGGGACTCGACGTCGGCGAGGCTCGGGGTGGCCGACGGGTACGGGTCGAGGAGGGGGCTGCTCAGGGTGTCCGTCGGGGCGGAGTCGGTGGTGCCCCGGAACGGCGCGAGGGCGCGGGCCGGCGCCAGCACGAGGGCGAGGGCGAGGAGGGTCACGACCTCGCGCCTGGGCTGCGTCGGGAGCGCCGGCATCGTCCTTTCCCGCGAGAGGCAGTTACCAACGCACTGGGAAGCGGCCGCGGTTGCCTTCGCTCTTTGCTATCATAGTAAATGACACTTTCTTATCACTGCAGATCGGATGACGAGACTGTTATTAGTGGGGAAATAGCGACCTGGTAACTCGTTGAATTATACTTATAGTTATTTCTTATTCGTTTTCAGACACCACCGCAATCAGCTGCAGATCACGTGTTTTTTAGTATTTCCAAAACAGTAGTTAAAACTGTAATTCTTGCATCGGAAAATCCTTGCAATCACAAAGGTCGTCCACATCGAACCTGCAAGAAAGAGAGAGAAAAAAAGGAAATTAACAACAAAGACATAACACTTATCACTCCCATTTATTTATATTTTTTGATTAGTCTCTAGTTTCTCTTTCAACACGTTCTCTCTCTCTCTCTCTCTCTCTCTCTCTCTCTCTCTCTCTCTCTCTCTCTCTCTCTCTCTCTCTCTCTCTCTCTCTCTCTCTCTCTCTCTCTCTCTCTCTCTTCTCTCTCTCTCTCTCTCTCTCTCTCTCTCTCTCTCTCTCGCTCTCTTTCCTCTGATATCACGAAACTTGATTCGGCAAAAGAGAGAGAAAGGAAAAAAAAAAAATAACAATAACGAAATTAACAATAAAGACAACACTATCACTCCCCATTTATGTATATATTTTTAAAATTAGCCTCATTAATATTCTTCTTAATACAATGAGTGGACTTCTCGATAATCACTCCCTATTATGTATATATTTTTTTAAATTAGCCTCATTAATCTTCTTTCTTAACACAAGAATGAGTTGATTCTCGATATCACGAAACCTTGATTCGGGAAAAAAGGTCACCAGCGGGTCTTTCATTCGGTGACCTCCGTGAGTGTTCGTGAGTCGACGCCCATTAGCACACGTCAAAGGTCAGCGCTGTCACACTAGCACTTTTTCCGTCAATTTTTTTTTTTTTTTTTTTTTACAATTTAACATGAAATACAAACATTCTCGAATATATTTGATTTGACTATGCTTGGACTAGCACTTTTTCTCTCAATTTTTTTACAATTTATTTAACATTAAATACAAACATTCTCGAATATAGCTCTTGATTTGACTATGCTTGGGGGAAAAAAGTTGACGGAGAGGTTTTCAGACGGAAACGATCATTATCGTCTGACTGGAAAAATCGACAACTCGCTCAAAAATGGAGAAAACATCAGGAAATTGTTAAAAAAAAAAAAAAAAAAAAAAAAAAAAAATAAAAATACAAAAAAAAAAAAAAAAAATGGCGAGCGAGAAAGTGCTAGTTGTGACGGCTCCTTAAGGAGACGAAAGTTGGTTCCCCTCGATTTTGGGGCTGTTTGGGTTTCGGCGGTGGGGAGGGGAGGAGGGGGAGGGGTGGAGTTTTGTCTGTCTGTCTGTCTGTGTGGTCGGTCGGTTTTGGTTTTCCTTCCATCTCTCTTCTCTCTTTCTCTCTTCTCTCTCTGTCTCTCTCTTCTCTCTCTCTCTCTCTCTCTCTCTCTCTCTCTCCTCTCTCTCTCTCTCGCTCTTCTCTCTCTCTCTCCTCCTCCTCTCCCTCCCCTCTCTTCCCTCTCTCTCCCTCTCCCTCTCCCTCTTTCTCCCCTCTCTTCTCTTCTCTCCCTCCCTCTCCTTCCCTCCTTCCTCCCTCCCTCCCTCCCTCCCTCCCTCCCTCTCCTCTCTCTCTCTCTCTCTCCTCTCTCTCTCTCTCTCTCTCTCTCTCTCTCTCTCTCTCTCTCTCACACACACACACACACACACACCACACACACACACACACACACACACACACACACACACACAACCACACACACACACACAACACACATTCTCACTCACCCTCTCACTTGCAACTCACTGCAATTTCTACATTATGCAGTTGTGATCGTACTTAGAACAAGAGATCTGTTTTAATAGAGACAAATGTGTGTCATTTCATGTGTAACCCCTCCGCCCCCACACCCCCACCCCCGCCCCCCCCCTTGATTGTATTCTTGTTGCTAACGATAGTTGTGTAACGTAATGTTTTTTTTTTTTTTTGTTCGTAAAATGGAAATGTTTTCTACTTGTCATACCGCGTGATTTTAGAGTATTTTTGTTTGTTTTTCGTTGGTGTGGTGGGAAGTTCACGGTCATACTTTTTATTGTTTGTATAATTTTGTTTGTTTTTGTGTGATGGATATAGTACGATTTTTGTTGTTTGTGTGTCTGTGTAAGAGAAATTCACTTACGCATTTTTCTGTTGTTGATACCGTATTTTTGGTTTGTTTTTTCTTGTACGATTTTTTTTTTGTTCTGTTGGTGTAGAATTTTTGTTTGTGTGTTAGAAGAAGAAATTTTTCCTTTGTTGATTACGATTTTTACGATATTTTTGTGTCTGTTGGTACGATTTTTTGTTCTTTGGTACGATATTTTTGTTTCTGTGGTACGATATTGTCAGTACGTTTTGCGATATTTGTGTTTCTGTTGGTACGAATTTTTTCTGTATATTTGCTGGTGTAATTCATGTGGGGGGGGGAGGGGGGAGATGTTCACACCCCGTGGGAGTTTGCGAAAGTGTGTGGGTTTTGAGCGCTAATAATTGGTGTCATTTTCTACCCTGTTACCTTCCTCCTCTCTCTTTCTCTTTCTCTTTTTTTTCCTTAACTGTTTCTCTTTTTCCCCATGAAGGAATATTAACATGTTCTTTCTCATTTTAACATGTTTCTTTTTGTTTGTTTGTTTTGAACAGGTCTCTTTTAAACGTGTATAATTTTTCCTGTATTTTTTTTTAAATATGTTC